TTAGTATCTACCCCCTGTAGAGAGCCGTTCAGTCTCAGGTTTTGTTGGGTTGAAGAACGGTGGAGCCACCTGTTATATGAATGCTGTGTTCCAGCAGCTTTACATGCAGCCCGGCCTCCCAGAGGTACACTTTCAATGAACTGTTTACTTAATTTATTTCTCTCCATACATTATGTGATACTTAGCAGTAACACCAGTATCTGTGACTACAATACAATTTTTTTGTTTTAGGCTTTCCTGTCCATTGAAGATGACACAGACCAGCCTGAAGAGAGTGTTTTCTATCAGGTCCAGTCTCTATTTGGCCATCTGATGGAGAGCAAACTCCAGTATTATGTACCTGAGAACTTCTGGAAGGTAAAAGTCTGTTCACTGTTAAATCATTTAGAAACCTGAGACTAAGTGCTATTTTTAATTTGCACAAGCACAATCTTGGAGTTCATCGCTGTTTCTTGTTTTTTGTTTTTTTTATCATGTAAAATTATGTGGGGGTTTTTAATAAGTCCTAATGATGGACCATGTTGTGCTGTCTGTAATCATTATGTCTGTAAAGTCTGTGTAACACATACAGATTTTGTTATCTTGGATAGTGACACAACTGAGTGTCATTAACTAAAGTGACAAAACTCAGTTTATCAATAGATATGTAACTGTATAAACATGCATAATATTTCTGTTGCAGATCTTCAAGATGTGGAACAAAGAGCTATATGTAAGAGAACAGCAGGATGCCTATGAGTTTTTCACTAGCCTGGTGGATCAGCTTGACGAACATCTCAAGGTATAACTCGCACACTAAAAGAACACTGTCGTCACTTGATTAGAAACTTTAATTTGTCAATGACAAACTTTTTCCACCAGAAAATGGGTCGAGAGCAGATCTTCAAAAACACATTTCAGGGAATTTTCTCTGACCAGAAGATCTGTAAAGACTGTCCTCACCGGTGAGCCACAGGTTTTTACTGTGTAGAATTTACCAAATCTTTTTCTTTATGCATGAAATTTGACTCACAAACATCCTTTGCACAGATATGAGCGTGAGGAAACATTCATGGCACTGAACCTTGGAGTGACCTCTTGTCAGAGTTTAGAGATCTCATTAGACCAGTTTGTCCGAGGAGAGGTGCTAGAGGGCAGCAATGCCTACTACTGTGAGAAATGCAAAGAGAAGGTCTGTAAACTCCCCTTCATGCTTTTATACATCACTGACATCATATGTGCTTATAAGTGTTAGTGTGTGTGTTTGTACAGAGGACCACAGTGAAGAGGACATGTATCAAATCCCTGCCCAGTGTTCTCTGTATTCACCTTATGCGCTTTGGCTTCGACTGGGAAAGCGGACGATCTATCAAATATGATGAGCAGATTAGGGTATGAAGATCAGACACTTGTACCTAATGGATCACATTTCCTAATATTGTTACAACCTCCTTAACTTTAATGTAAATGTGATTGGGATTAAGGTTGTTTCCATTGTTTCAGTTCCCCTGGGTGCTGAACATGGAGCCCTACACTGTATCTGGAATGGCTCGTCAAGACTGCAGCGGAGAGGGAGGCGAGGGGAGAGGCGACGGGAGCTCAGGAGGGTCACCCAGGAAAAAAGTCACAATTTCTGAGAACTATGAGCTTGTGGGAGTTGTTGTCCACAGTGGTCAGGCGCATGCTGGCCATTACTACTCTTTTATTAAAGATAGACGGTAAGAGACACTGTAGTCAGTCTTACCTCATTTCACAGGAATCGTTTTCTAATGGCAGAGTTTTGTGCTTTTCCTAATTGTATCTTTCCTTCTCTTTGCTACTTTACATAAGGAGTACCTAACCAGCAATTGGTGGAATACATTAATTGGTTGCTTTAGTTTTCCAGGCAGAATTTAGAAGACCTCCTTGGGTCTTGCATATGAATGCAGTATCAGATTTTGTATGGGCTCCTGGATTAGTTTGTAAGCATCTCCAGATGTCTGGCGCTGGAAGGCAGTCGTGCTTACTGGAGAAGTGGAATGTAAAGAGACCACAGAAGCTTGTTTTTGGCACCCTGCTCTCACTCATTTTCTTGTTCCTTTCCATGCTTAAGAAATTCTGTTCTCAGGATGATGCTTACTTTGCAGGAAAACAGACACATTCTGAAGCTGCTTCTTAGTCACTTACTGTTTATGTCAGGTCTGTGTGGGTTTAAAGCCAAGAACAGTGACATAAAAACTTAGCAGACGAGCTGGATAGATGCATGCGAATACTGTGATCTGCCAGTAGGTTAATCTGGTGTGCTGTCTATATAGTGCTGGGTACATACATGAGTGAAGATCCAGGTTTTTTTGCTTGTAAGCTTTTTTAGTTTTTGCATTAGGTTATTATTTAAACTTCATGGAGTTTCCAGTATGTCTCTCTTTCTGCTTTATCTTCTCAAATTCCTTTTTTGTCATCCATCTTTGTTTACTAATAGCGGTGGTGCACGTGGTCGGTGGTACAAGTTCAATGACAACGTGGTAGAAGAGTTCGATATGAACGACGAAACTTTGGAGTACGAGTGCTTCGGTGGGGAGTATCGTCCCAAGGTTTATGACCAGTGTAAGTTGCTGACATTACTTTACTTTATGTGGATTAGCAGTACACACAAGTACAAAATCTTAAATAACTTTGATGTATACTCAGCCAACCCTTACCCTGACGTGCGGAGGAGATACTGGAATGCCTACATGCTGTTTTATCAGAAGATCAGCGACCAGAATTCGCCTGTTCTGCCCAAAAAGAGCAGAGTCAGCATCATGAGACAGGAAGCTGAGGACCTTTCACTGTGAGTCAAATTTCCATATGTACCACAGTCACCTTGAAAACATTCTCATTGGACTGTTGAAAATGCATCTGTCATCTTTTCATACATCCATGTGCAACAGTCAGCAAACTGTCACCGCAGGCAGTAGGTGATAGATTTGATGCTGACAGTTAAAGACTTATTTACAAAGACTTCATTTATATGCATTATACAGAAACTTTAATGAACCATCACGGATGTTAATCACATGATGCGAGTCATATTTGTATATGAACACTGTCAGAAGAACAGCAGTTGGGAACGGCTCCAGTGCATTAACTATTATGAACCATCTATGTTGTCTCTTTATTCCCAGGTCTGCTCCATCTTCTCCTGATGTTTCCCCACAGTCCTCTCCACGCCCCCCAAGAGCCAACAATGACCGTCTCACTCTACTCACCCGTCTGGTCCGCAAGGGAGAGAAGAAGGGCCTGTTTGTAGAGAAAATGCCCGTCAGCATCTATCAGGTAAGGCAAAATCTGCCTTTACACGAGCTAAACACGAGTTATATTAGTCAGAGAGAGAATTGCTTTAAATATTCATAGTTGTCTCACCGCTTTGTTTGTGTGTTTGTGCAGATTGTGAGAGATGAGAATCTGAAGTTCATGAGAAACAGAGATGTCTACAACAGCGACTACTTCAACTTCACCCTTTCCCTGGCTTCAGTCAATGCAGTATGTTTCTCTGTTGGCTTGTCTAAATATACCTAAACACAGACTGAAGATACACAACACTTTGAGCTTCATGTATTTGCCGGTTGTAATCAAAAGACATAAAACAAGGTTTTCTTCCAAATATTCAGCAGTTTGTTTTTCTCTGGTACTTGAAGTAGATGCAAGTAAAATATTGGATTTCACTTTTGGTCTGTGTCTACACAACTGAAAAAACAGTGTGTATTTTACTTTTCTGAGGCAATGCTTTTATTGCAGGTCAGCATTTTACAGTAACTGCACTGCCTTATAGGAATCGGAGTACTGTTCACCTGTAATGACAGATTGCATTCTGCCATTAGAGAGAAATACTCTGACATACATGAATGATAATTATTTAAATATTGTGAGTCCTGATGCAGAATGGAACCCACCGCCATTGCAATATTACTATTATATATGCTATAATGCAATACCATAGTGTTTATATACATAAAATAACATGCAGTATGATAAGCAGTGATGTTTTAAAAAGCTGTGTTCCTTTTGCAGACAAAACTGAAGCATCCAGGCTACCAGCCAATGGCCAAAGAGAGTCTTCAGCTGGCTGTTCACTTTCTGTTCCACACCTACTTGCACACCAAAAAGAAACTCAGGTGATTTCACTTGCATGCATCCACATGTGTTAAGTTTGAGCACCTTCATGAGGAGCAACATTATATCTGTATTTGTGTGTCTCTTGCAGGGTGGACACAGAGGAGTGGATGGCGACAGTGGAGGTGTTGCTGTCTAAGAGCAGTGAGGCATGCCAGTGGATGGTGCAGTACCTGGTGGGGCCAGAGGGACGCGAAATCGTCAAGTTAGTACATTCCTGCCAACTAATTAACCCACAGAGCTGTTGTCACATTATTTCTCATGACTAATATGAAATATTAAAACAATTTTCTACATTGTTTAGATAGCAATACAATATTGCTGCTGCTTGAAAGTGGAAATAACAGGGTACAGTTATGTCTGCATCAGGTGTGGATGTAATCCATGTTTGTAGGACTGCTTTTGCAGAAGCTTGACCTAGGTTTGATCAGTACAGCATTTTTGTAGCTGTCCTAGTGATATGCAATACTTTAGACTTGGCAGCTCCAAGCATTGCGCCCTCATTCTAATCAATGCACATTCAACTCTCTGACCAGGGCCAAATAATTCCACTTTGATTATTTTTCCTACAACGCGTAAAGCTTTACTAAATATATAATGCCCACACACATTACCTCTGGAGTGTTTTAATGCTATATAATTTATTATATTTGCACACTTCATCAGTATAACTGCAAAAGTCTTGGAGCATACTTACAGTTGCATCTTTACTGACAGTAGAGATATTAAACACTTGTGTGCTTGTTGCTCACTGACTTAATGCTGATTGGCTAAAAAAAAAGCAAGTCCTTCTCTGGAATGTAAACATTTAGAACCACAGGATAGTTTTCCAAAGCGTGTGTTTGGGAGAAAGGTGTTGTCTTACACTACTTGATGTTTAAGCATGGGGTGATCATATGATCCTCAGACAGGATTGGTTGTCGAACATCGGATGTTTTGGGCAACAGTACACCACAGCTGCCTTTACATACCACACCCCTCCCCGTAGAACAGAGGTACAGATTGTCACACTTAACTATGTGCCTCAAGGCCAAAGCAGCCAGAACTGTTAAGCAAAGTACAACAAAGAAATTTCCCACATGAACAGTGTTGTAAACTTGTCTGTCCTTTCAGATTTTATCATAAGATACTGAGTGTCTTATGATAAGACATTAGTCATGTTAATTGAAGTTCCTGCCTTAGAGGTTTATTTCCCTTCACTGGAGTGCTGATATTGATTGTTTTGACATTTCCTTAGGGTTTGTCTGTTGGAGTGCAGTGTAAGAGAGGTGAGGGTGGTGGTTGCATCCATCCTCGAAAAGACTCTGGAGAGTGCACTTCAGTTTGGAGATCCAGGACTAGACGGTTTAACAGATGCTCTGCTCTCCTTACTGGACAAAGATGTTCCTGAGAATGTGAAGAACTGTGCGCAGTATTTCAACCTCTTCAGCAACTTCGCTCAGAGGGTAATTCTTCAAAATTGAGTGTTTAAGTACAAGCCATTAAATTTAATGACTGTTTGATTTCCTGAGTGTTCTCTGTTTTTTGTTCACTCTCTCCCTCCCTCTCTCAGGGTTGCGGTCCTTGTCAGTTGTTGTTGAAACACTCGGCGTATCGCCGGATGCTCATCTTTCTGTTGGGCCCCAATAGGCAGAACAACCAGGTACAGTTTACATAATACACACTGCATGTTTCATATGTTTGTCATTCTTAATGTTTTCACTTTAGCTCAACTTTTCCACTCACTGAATTACACTCAGGAAACAAAGTGTAAGTTTTTTGCTTATCCAACGCTGAGTTGCAGTGGTAACAGGTTAAGCAGGTATTCCAGACATCCTTCTCAATAGTAACAGTTTAGAGAGATCCCAAGTCATTCCCAGGTAAAATGAGGTATATAATCTCTCAAGCGAGTTCTGGGTCTGTATTGAGGGCACTTCTCAGTTGGGTATACGTAGAAAAAACCTCCAAAGAAAGGCAGAGAAGTTTTACTTTGTGTTTTTACAGAACCGAAGGTGGAGTCCAGCTCAGGCTCGGGAGTTTCTTCACCTGCACAGCACTCTGGCCCTGATCACTCTGCACTCTGACCTCAGCCCCCAGCGCACACAGGGTGATGCACCTAAATTGATGCACACACTACTACAAATGTGCACCTACTGACACAGCCTCAGTCTTATTGTGATTGTTTGTTTATCACCCGTTGTTCCTCACGTAGCTCCCGGAGGGCTTAAGCTGCGCCTGAGTAGTGTCCTGTCCTCCACCCCTCTTCTCCCTCTCCATGCGGACATCCTTGCCTCACTCTTTACTCCAGAAGGACAGCCTTACCTTCTAGAGGTAAGATAAAAAAACCATCAATTCAATGTTTTACTTCTTCATTATTAAATAGAAAAGACTCAGAAGCTCTTTGATTGACAATTTTCCCAATTGTAAATACCCAACAGGTGATGTTTGCAATGCGCGAGTTATCAGGCGCACTGTCTCTCCTGATAGAGATGGTGACCTACAGCTCGTTCTGTAATGAGCCCTTCTCTCTGGGAGTCCTGCAGTTACTCAAAGTAAGAATCTCTGAAAAGCAGCTCAACCACATTTACTCCACAAATCAGTATGCACTAAATTGTTTTGTACTCTTCACAGACACAGCTGGAAACAGCTCCACCTCATGAACTGAAGAACATTTTTCTGATGCTGCAGGAGCTTCTAGTGAGTAACATCCTTCAGTGACCCTTCCTCTGTTGATCTTTCATGTTGCGTGGTCACTATGAGGTCTCACATTTCCTAACTTCATTTAAATCTTTTCCACAGGTAATGGAAGACCCTCTGCAATCCCAGAGACTCAAGTATGCTTTTGAGTCAGAGAAAGGTCTATTAGGTATGTCTGTTGTTTTGTTTTTTTCCTATTGACAACAGTGTACAAATCCTTGTAGCTCATAATGTGTTTTCTCCATAGCTTTGATGCAGCAGAGCAACAATGTAGACAGCAGGCGCTGCTACCAGTGTGTTAAGTTCCTGGTCACATTAGCTCAAAAGTGAGTACATCTGCAGTTTAGGGATCAGACTCGGGCAGAAAAATATTTGGTTGTTATGTGTTTTTTTTTTTTCCAGTATGAACTATTATCAACTGTAATAGTAGTAGTGTTAGCAGATTAACCTACCAACATAATTCTGACCCTGCTTTCATCCCTCCCACTCTCCAGGTGTCCTCAAGCTAAGGACTACTTCAAGGACTTGTCTGGCACCTGGAGTTGGGCGGTGCAGTGGCTCCAGAAAAAGGCAAGCCTAAGAAATACTGTAGGACCACCTACACTACATGAACAAAAGTACAGGGCCACACCTCTTAATCTTTAAAGTGACATGTTTTCAGTCCCATTGCACCCAACATTTACAAACATTTGGGAAAGAAGAAAATGTTTCAGAACCACAACAACTCGGCCATGAAATGGAAGATCACGTAAAGTTACTAAGGCTACGTTCACACTGCAGGCGAAAGCGCATCAAATCCAATTTTTTTGACCCTATTAGACCCATATCCGATCATGGTATGACAGTGTGAACGGCACAAATCCGATATTTTCAAATCCGATCTGGGTCACTTTCGTATGTGGTACTGAATCCGATACATATCCGATGTTTCAGAAAGAGACTGCTGTTTGAACGGTCAAGTCGCATTAAATCCATCTTTTATGTCACTGACACAAGACAGACGCCAATTATCAGCGCCCAATAAGACATCGCGAACGTTTTCTGGCCATCCGGTGAAACTGTTGGGAAGACAACGTTGGAGAAATGTTAACATTTTATTTGTACTGTGTAATCTGCAGATTCTGACAGAAATCTGCAACTATCCTTTGAAGCACCGCTCCTCTCTAAAACAGCAATAAGGATAATTATTAGGTTATCTACATTATTATGTAAATAACAAAATAACTTAAAGCAAAAATTGGGAAATGTGAAGTCTGAAGTCTTTATATTAAGCATCTTCTTTTGCGCATGCGGGCCGCTTTCACACTAGAGAGCGTTTGCTGTCACATTTTATTTGTAGTGTGAACGAGCAGACAAAAAAATCGGATTTGATCAAAAAATCGGAATTGAGCATTAAGACCTGCAGTGTGAACGTAGCCTAAGAGGAGTTGCATAGTGCTTAAGAGATGCCAACACTTGATGATTCAGTAACTGCAGATTTCCAAACCTCTGCCATGAACATCAGCTCAGTAACTGTGGGCTGGGAGCTTCATAGCCTGGGTTTCCATGGGCAACCAGTTTCTGTAGGTGGCCCAGTACGTTTATCCATATAGTGTACATCACATTAGTGTGAGGCATTTTTGGCTTTTGTAATTGACAGTAGAAGTGAGAAGGATGGAGGACAGCAGCCAACAAAAATCCCCAGTGCCTTTAAGCCCAAACCTCAGTGTTTCCCATTCCCTTCTTATTATTTAATCCAACATAACCTCCAAGTTCTTACAGGTGAATTCGGACACACTGTGTTGTTAAAAACTAATCAGCCTTTCAAATATTAGTTTAAATCTGAACTCAGTTTAGCACGGCATAAATTTTTTATTTTTTTAGAACTTTTTTTCATTTAGCTAAATGATAGTTTAGTAAAGTTTGCCTTGATATTAGTTACCACTTGGTGCCAAACATAAGGTCCGAGGACCAGAATCAGCTCAGCAAATCAGCCCACTGGACTGCATTGGAAAATATGAAGGGGAGGATCGACTTTGGACTTTTAATTGTGTTTTCATAAGTTTTACCACTTTTACTACTTACAAAGACCTCCCCCATGGCCATTCGTACTACACCAAAGTATTCAAGTAATAGATAAACAATAAACTAACAAAAAAAACAGCATTGTTGTATGCAGACTATACAGTAACTATTTTCTATTCATTACAGCGAACTTTAGGTAACTGAACTGTTTTTCCGAACTGAACTTAAAACTCCTTTAAATCATATTTATTACCATCATAACTTATCTTGCTTGTTGTTGTTTCTTTCTGTATACATTTTTGTTCACAGCTCACTCAGTATATTAAATTTGTTCCATCATTAATTTTCATATTACTGGAGCTAAACGAGAGTCTTTACAGTGCCCCCTGTTTAGGAGACACTTAGCTTAACCACTATGGCACTTATGAAGAACTGTAAATGATGCTGTATGCTCACAGTGACTCTCTCTGCCTTCAGATGACAGAACATTACTGGACTCCACAGAGCAACGTCTCAAATGAGACATCCACCAATAAAACCTTCCAGCGCACAATTTCTGCACAGGTAAATACACGCACACACAAAAATACCATATATCAACGCCCTCCAGTTCTCCTATTACACTCACTCACACTGTTTATTTTCCCTGTGTGTGCCTGCGTGTGTGTGTGTGTGTGTCACACTCTGCAGGATACCTTGGCCTATGCTACAGCATTGTTAAATGAGAAAGAGCAGTCTGGTAGCAGTAATGGTTCTGACGGCAGCCCGGCGAATGAAAACGCTGACCGCAGTCTCCGACAGGTATCTCTCAGCTACATCCAAACGAGCAGCTTAGAACAGTGGAGCTCTCAAATGACTCATGGTTTTAAAGCAGTTCCCGCTCAGCTCACATAAGCCCGAAAGAGAAGAATAGAGCAAAAATGGATCATCTCATTGGCTTCTGTCAAAAGCAGTTTGTTACCGCCCACGGTTATTATTAGAGGTGGATTTGAAGCTGTTTCATTCTTCTCCGACTCCCGCTGGGGCTGTCAGGATGCCCACACAACCCCAGATTGTCACTTGTGCTCACATAAAAACATTATAGACAATCGGTGTGTTGAATAGAAATTATAATCCTCCTGGCTCTGCCTAACAGATGGATAATTCAACTTTTTTTGTTTTTTTTTAATCCAACTTCCCTCTATTCTACCACAGGGGTCAGAGTCTCCCATGATGCTCGGTGATTCTAAGAGCGATCTAGAAGATGTGGACCCCTAGGTCGTCCTACCAGTGGGATCCCTCCAAAGGAGAGGCAGCTCCGGGAAGCCATTCGAAAAGGCTGCACTTTGCCTCTGATTGGTCAGGACATTTAGGACTCCACAGCAAGCCAATCAGAACATTTGTCTCAGTCGCTAAGGCAACGAAGGAGCTATGAATAAATCATGAATTACTTCCTTTCACATGAGCCAAGGCGATGATGGAGATGCATTATCATTAAGGGCAGCAGAGTTGATTAGGGTGGGAAGTGCAAATAACCTTCCACAATCATGGATGACTTCAGTTTATCCTTTTATTCATTCATTCACTCAGAATGACAGCAAGGTGGAGGATGGGTTTGGGTTGTGTTTTAACAATTTTCTGCTCATGTTTGCCAATTTATCTACATATTCATATTGTAAAGATTTTGTTCCATAGATGTTATTTCCAGTGTAAGATAATATTTTAAAGTGTCCTGTGCTCTTCTCTCACAGCCATGCAAATTGCGGGAGGTCACATTTAGCTGCTCTAGAGGAACTTACAGACAGGAACACCTCCACATATGAGCACTTGGGAGGGAGGGTGGGTTTAAGTATGCACTTTATAGTCCAACCCATTCTGTTGTGATGTACAGCAGCACTGGTCAGTTCCTCTAGAGCCTCGTCTTCTTTTGCTTTTAACAACTTATATTTGCAGTGCCACTTATGCAACACATGAGAGCCCTGATGGCAAGCCAGTCTGCCTGTGACTTGACCTTTGACCCTCGGCCACCACAGTGTAGCCATCGGGATGCAGTAGGGGGCTGGTCCTGTTGTATGACGGTTCCAGACCCTCAGCATATCTGAAACAAGCAGTGCCATGGTCAGTACTCTCCCTCCACTCCTCCTCCTTGCTGACAAGCGGCCTCGTGTTCTGGATTTTATTCTTTTTGTCGCTGTGTTTTATTTTCAATGCCACTTTTCTTTGAATCTGGATGAATTGAATTACTGCAGAGGATTAGGGACTCGAGCCTTATGCAGGAAAAAGCTGATCTGGAAGAGCGCAGATCAGTTGTGGTGGGCCATCAGTGCTGCCTGAAGGGGAGCTCAGGAGCAGGTTTTTATTTTTAGGTGCCAAGGTTACACACACACATGCACACAAAAACTAGAACTTCTGAAAAACATGCAGGCGTGTGTCACTCATTCACTTCGCTCACAAAGACAGAGAACAGGTCCTCTTCACCTCACTGTTACCTCTGCTTTATCAGGTTTCTTTTTTTTTTCTGATGGAGTTTACATTTTGCTTTGCCTTTTGCTTTTGTCAACCTTTGGAAACACACACAGAGGAGCTAAACCCAAATGTAGCTCTAGTTTTTACTGGAGAGCAACACCCATGTTACCATCATCCCTGCCCCCATCATCGGGAGACTTGAAGTGCCTTAACCTCCCGATCTCCCTCCCGTCTCCCCTCGGACACTGTCTCGTCACATCTCCGATGAGGTACGTCCTCACCTGCTCCACCCGTGACGCTAAACCAAGTGTCTCCTGTGGTCATGTAGAAGGGCAACAGGGCTTCTTCCTTTGCATTATTCTTGAAACTACTACAGGGAATTTCCTCTGTGTGTTGTGACAAAGGACTGTAGGAATGTAACTGTTGACTCTGTGTGTGAATGGGGAGGTGGGCGTGGAAGTTTTACCCAGTAACACAGGGTTTAGGCAACACGACAGGGTTCTGATGATGGTAAAATGCTGCTTCTCTTCACTCTGCACTCAGACAGAGACACTTTGTAGATAATTCATGCTAGGTAGTTTTAATGAAGTCACGCTTTCACTAACATGTTTTAAGACATGAGCCTAAACTTGCTTAGCAGATTAGCTCTCAGCTTTAACAGGTCAATGTTTACAATGTAAGGACCTAGGAAGCTACCATGCAAAATGATTTTCTGTTGGAATCAACGTGCGATCAATCCGCTGGCTCCTCTGCATCCGAGAAGAGGAAAGACACTGCTTTAGCCCTTCCATGCTCCTCCACCCCATTTTCCTCTCATTAGATGTGAATGTCACATCGTGCTCTCCAGCACGTTTGCATGTGTGGCAGTAAGTGATGGTGAGGTTTGTCTTTTCTGCGTGATGGAAAAAAACAAAATCAGCCCCCACCCCCTCCACATGTTGTTTGCTGTGTAATTTGGTATCATTAATGTCACAAACACACGCCCCTTCATAGTGGCTGGTTATGGGCGATCTGAAGGAGCTGCATGCAGTCTGTGCCAAGTGATTACATGACCATGGCAACATGAGTTACATTCAGCCAAGAGTTTTGTTGGTTTGGCCCTCTGCTACATCACCACAAATACTTAAAAATAGAAAAAAAGAAAAAAAACAACTTCAAAACAATCTTGTTTTAATCCTGGGATGCAGGGAGGGATGGGTAGGTGCGAGGTTAGGGATTGGCATCTATACGGGTTTTTACTGTCATTCAATTTTGAAACTTCACTTCTGACATCGCAAGACTCTGTAATGCATGTTAAGACTCAGTTTTAATTTGTACATCAGAGTTTGATTAAGGGGAAATTTGATATAAAATAAACTGGAATGCACAACCTTTTGCAAATATTGTCTTTATGCATTTCTATATACATGATACAACCGTAGACTGTATATAAAAGGCGTAACCTCTGTGACATCACCAGTTGTTTTGTGAAGCTTCAAACTGAGCATTTTCACCATCTTAGCTCTTTTAAAACAAGATAATGACAAAACTGGGAGGCCACATTTCAATTTATTATCTTTGTAGTCACGAATAGGAACTATAATTCACCAAATGAACACCAGCTGGTCTTCAGCAAGGCTTGAATCTACACGCTAAGGTCTTAAACTCATCAGGAAAGCTTTTACTAGGCAAACAAGCTAAGGACCACTTTCTCATTCTATTAAACTGGACTTCTCTTTGCAACTAGATAAGTAGCTCCTGGTGGTCATTAGAAACAATGCACACAAATCCACACATACTTTTTTTTTAGTCCTGGAACCTACATCCATCTTTTATATACAGTCTACAGCACCTTAAAAACATTACCTGTGGCCCCAATGTCGATACTGATATCAATTTATGCAGCAGAGACGGTGCACAACAGATAATTTAATTTGTTTACAGCACGGGTTTTGAAACTTTTGGTGCCCATTTGTGTAAATTGCAATAAACAGCTCATTTTTTAGCAGGCCTGAACTTGCCTTGAGGCACACCATTTGGGAACCATTTACAGGTTACAGCAGACCAAATAATACAAAACAAGAGCAGTTTCTTTTATGTTTTAGAACTCATAGAAGGCTCAGGCTTCTAAGTTTGACCATTACAGCTGATGGATCAGGTCACTAGTTAAATGGTTACAAAAAATGACATAAGAAACAAACACCAACTGAATCTTTGAGAATGCTGATTCTAAATCAGAATAGCTTAAATCTTTAATTTGTACCTACTCTGCATCCTGCAAACAGAATTACACACATGAATTCAGCACTAGCTTCATTTACTGTATTCTGGGTAAACTTTGTTTTTATTTTTTATCAGTCTTTGGTCATATAGGTTCAGTCGGATAGAAGCTAGCTGACAGTGGTTTATATGCTTCCTTTTGCTCTTGTTCACACTGAAGTCCCCCACCTCTGTATCAGAACTAAGTCTCTAACTGTGGAGCCATAAAAGCCACTGTCACAATAACACTCTGGGCAGACATGAATTTGTTTTAACTGGTGTCCCTACTGTTAGCCATTTACCTCATTTTGTTTCCACCTACTGTTTCACAAAATGAGCAAAAGGTACTTGACTTGTTAATCAAGCTGCCGAGCAGGCTGATTACCTGCAGCTGTGCTGCACAAGACTGAGGAATGTCAGGAAATCAGTGCATACATAACACATGCTAACTGTGACAACCTGTGGTGCACATTGTCATGTTTTTCCACTCTAAAACACACATGGCTGACACCAGAGCTTAACATTTTGATTTCATTTGTTCAGTTTATTAACTTGTAAATAGCATGCGGATAGTATACCCGGTAAATACTACACTATTATCCAAACCGTATGTTTGTGAAAGCTCTTTTTATTATAACTGTTTTGTAAAAAGATACAAAAATAGCTTACAGGTTGTCAAGTCACATATAATATGTGCACTGGAGCATAATTTGGCGTAATCCTAAAACTAAAACACACACAAACAGCTTTACAGAAGTGCTTTAAGTGAATATTAAGGATGTTGAGGTTTCTCAGAAAAGTGAAAGGGGGTTTAAAACTGACCAAAGACAAAAATGGCAACGTCAAAGCTGTTTCAACGATGTTAGAAACCAAAGTGAGGTGAAACCGGATCAGTGAGGTGTTGCAGCTTGCTGCTCTAGTGGTGCGACACGACAGCAGACGGCAGCACCCGCTGCTCCATCCACTCCCGTGACACCATAGACATGGCAACTGTTTCCCTTGGCAACTGGCCCCAAGATAGCAGAGCCCCGAGAGACGGCACTGCAGTCTGTCAGAGTCCAGCCGGAAGGACAGGAAACCTCAACCTGAAGGAAAACGATAACTTCTGAGGTAACTTCCAGTAGCTGATTCTCAAAGTTTTTACTGTGATTTTTATTTTATTTCACCTGATCTTTGTCAGCTGATATGTTTTCCAACAGGTTGCACTCGAGAGATGGAGCGTGGCAGCATATCGCATGTGATGTGACCCCCTCTTTCACCGTGCAGCGCTTCCCCTGGCTGTGACGTGGATGCGAATCAGATGAGATCTCAGCTGTGGACATCGATGTACACCCTAGAGAAGAATCAGCTGAATCTTTAAACACAACGAAGGAGCAAAGAACTTTAGAGGCGCTGTTGCCAAGCATTAACTGATCCTCCTCACAGAGACCACTATGGAGGCAACCAATGAGAAATGTAATGTAAAGTCATTTAAGTGCTCTAATGACATTTGAAAAGCTGCTTTTTCTATCACACACTTGTGGAGTAGCTGGCAATTGTGCTGGCTAGGGTTACATTTTCCTTTCAGGGTGATTACCATGGGAACAAGCATACCTGGCTAAGATATTCTAAATGCAGCAGCCTGACTTTGACTAAAAAATACAGATTATATACCTGAGGTGCATCGCTTCAGTACATCGACAGCAACTAAATTTAAATTAATAGACTTTGTTTTTGTTTTTAAAGGCGGCTGACATTTCACCCCACTTCCTATATCTCTTAGTGTGAAGCTGGAGGGAGGGGTCTCTTGGCTAAACTTATCATAAGCAATATCAACAGTGTTCAAAGAGCTGTATTCATTCTGCCAGCTATTAAACCATGATCTCTGATTACTAATTTAAAACAAAAAGATATTAAATAAATAATTTTTTCCTCCACATTTTCCCAGATGCTTTCTGGAACATCGTTTCCTTGATCTAACAGTATTAGATTTGTATTAGTATTTATTTTATAATTTTTTTTATTGTTGGTATGGATAAAATAAAATCTATCTGAAGAGCCCTATTCACTGTCTGTCCACTATATTAGATACAAATGGTCATGATCATATCACTAATCACATCATAGTCGAGACAACCTGCTTAACTTCAAACTAAGACTCCTAACACACTGAAAACTAGCTGAAATTAAATTAATACAAATATTCAAAATAAAATAAAATTTAAAAAAAAAACAACAGCTCTGCACCAGCTATATTTTTATGTAATCTGTACATATGTTCATGAAAAATAGAGAGGACTTGTTAAATGGAAGATTAAGTCCAAATTAATAGTCTTTAACTACACCTCATCAACTGCTAATTAATGCAAACCAGCTAATCACATGAACCCAGAATAGAATGTTAATTTTATTGTCTTTCTGATGTTGGTGTTCTTTATTGTTACTGTCATTTCATTTGTTTTTTGTTTTTTTGTTTTTTTAGTATTTATATTTTTATTCTTTTTAGTTTATGTTCAGCACTTGGTCAGTGCTCACTGTTTTTAAAGTGCCCTATAAATAAAGTTAGCTTTGACTGGCAAATGACTCAAACTGAGCATCAGGGCATCCGAATAGGGAAGGAAGGTGATTTAAGGGATTTTGAATGCCGTTTGTGCTAGAGTGGCTGGTCTGAGTACTTGACAAACTGCTGAAATACACACAACAATCTCTTGGATATATGCAGAGTGGTCAGAAAAAGCCTACCTTAGCACTATTGCTGATCAAGTCTATCCCTTTATGGATAACGCACCATGTCACAAAGCTCACATCATCTCAGAATGGTTTCTTAGACAATGACTTCAATGTACTCAAATGACCATCCAGCACATGTGGGATATGGTGGATCAGGAGATCTGCATCATACATGTGCAGCCGACAAACCTGCAGCAACAGTGCGATGCTATCATGTTAATATGGTCCAAAATCTCTGAGGAGTGTTTCCAGCACCTTGTTGAATCTATGTCTATGCCATAAAGAACTAAAGCAAGGTAAAAAAAATGAGATCAACCCAGTACTAGCAAGGTGTACCTAATAAAGTGTCCCGTGAGTGTAAATATTTAATATATTACCCCTTTGATTTTTTTACAGTAATATTTTTGCAAAATTATGAGCTGACAGTTGAACTTCTGGTTTATAGACACACATGATGGTGTCATTTATTTTCTCTTCTAACTCTCAGCAAGAAAACAAGTAAGAGTTTCTCCTAAAATGTCAAACTGACTGCCTCATTCAAACTCCTGCAGATTGTACACGTGACTCACCGGTCAGGTGGTGCTGGGGGCCGACGCACTGAGCAGCTTGTCCTTGCTCAGGACTAGCATGGACCTGGCACCGCAGACCGCTTATCACACAACAGCGGGCCACAGCATACACACCTTTACCTGCTGGACCATTATGGGCAATACACTCCATGTGTCCGCCGTTCATCTGTAAACACAGAGGTGCGGGTTTGCCCGTAGACTTATAGACTTTAGAGTGAAGTTATTGTTGATATTATGGCTGATGTAACTGAACTAACAGTGATGGTTTCCCCCACACGGACGCCTTCAGGAGCATAACTGCTGCAGCCCATCATTTCCTCCCCTTGACGACAGCGGCTGATGACCCTGTCGGTGCTCACGACTCCTGACCTCTCTGACCACACTGACCGACACAGTAGCTCCCCATCTGCATGTAGAAATAGGAACACATATGTGAACCACATATAGATACTATAAGTCTGTGTGTGATAAAGGCACGTAAGTCACTAACTTGGTGAAGTTTTGATAGCCGGAGGCATGGCTGCTACCAGGTTTGGCGTAGTGAGCCGATGGCTTTCGGACAGAGATAGGAAGTCGATAGTGTTGCTGATGGAGTAATGCAGCATCATATGGAGGACGTGCACTGGTGATGCAATCTGACTGGACGACAGGATCACTGCTACGACACCTACACAGATAAAAACAAATTATGAAGCAATTATGCTGTGACAAATGGTAACGATACTGATGTGCAAAAATGATTTATGCACAACCTTTCTTATGCAACTTTAGTGAAAATATCTCTATTTAAAGCACGCCGTACACATCTGTACACTGCATACTTGTATGCTAACTAGTGAAAGTCTTCTGAGTGATCATTAGAGAGAAAACCTTGATTTGTCAGCGCAAGTGAAAAATTTGTGGATGCACAAGTCAGTACTTTTAAAGTTGTTTTCAGAAATCTCATGTATAAATTTATCTGCAGGCTTAATGCCTCTGAAAATCATTGCGGGATTATCAAATATAAGATGTATTACAACATGCCACCAATCCCAGGTGTGGAGACACTGCTACAGCTGCTTTCCCTGCAATGATCTATAATATGCAATTATATTTTTTCTAGTGTTTATGTGATTTTTTTTTTGTAAGGATCATTGAGTCTGTAATAAAAGAATGATTGATATACCAACAGCATACACAGATTGCTTTTGCGTGCGCGCGTGTGTGTTTGCGTACCTGCAGTGTGTGCAGCAGCCTGTGAGGTTCCACTGCGGGAGGTGAAGCAGGTGCTGCAGTCACTACTGGCACTAACGATGTCGTCGCCGGGTGCAAACAAATCAACGCAGCGGCCGAAGTTGGTGCCACCTGCTCCCTGTGACATGAGCTGGTCCATTGAGTTAACTGCCCCCACTGTGATGACCTATACACACACACACACACACGAAAAGAGGTAAAGGTAAGGGTCGCATGTAGGTGGGCCAGAATGTGATTGCATTTTCAGTGTTAAATTACCTCAGGCTCTGAAGCAGGTGAGTAGAGACACGCATCATCTCTGTAGTTCCCTGCTGCGGCGATGACCACAGCGCTGTTAGCCACCATGTCTCGACAGGCTGTATTTAATGAACGGCTGAGGCCACCAGCAAAAGGAAGCAACACGACTACTGCATCCACTGGGCGGGCCAGTAAAGTGGCTCGGATGTATTCCATTCCTGACAGAAAGGGGAAAGGGACAATCTAAAACCTCATACACTCAAGAAAAATTGGAAGTTTTACACTGGAGAAGTGGCCATCTTCCTTTTCTCTTTCAATACAGTTAATGAAATGAAAGTGTGTTCTAAACATCTTTAAAACCAGACTAAGAGTTTATAGCTGCATGGTTAGAGATCATTGGTCTCCTAGGGATTCATACTACCCATAATTATTTATATTTTAACACAAGAAGTCTGACCTGAACTTCTCAGGTTTTAGAAGAAGAAGAGAAAAGTTTGGTTCTTCTGTCTGGTGAACAGAGACTGAAGAACTGCTGCAGTTGGGGTCTTTTTTATTTAATTTTTTTCTACAAATATAGGTGGGGGGTTTTTCTACCTGCAGCTTTAAATCAAAGTTGCTGTAAGAGTGAAACATGGCACTCATAATGTAGATTAGAATTCTGGTGATGGTGATGGTGATGGTTGCACTACCTGTGCCCACAAACATATGACCCACTCATGTTCTTGCAATAACTCAGTTATGACACTCCCCATGTATATCTAGAGGGAAAGGGCCAGAGTCATAGTCAGAAGATGACCTCTGGAAAACAATGTTTCGATAAAACTGAAATATTTGTCATGCCATCCATGAGCTCGTGCTACTAAAAATGTGTGACTGGAAATGTGTCACCATGACCCAAGAAAAAGAAACTTTAAGAGTTTTTGCTTGGCTCTGGTCATCTTTAGTACAAAGTACAGTTCAACAGCTTCTGTCTTACCTGCCAGAGCTCCTGAGACGGTCCCTTTACCCTGACAGTTGAGCACACGCACTAGGTTAACAGCAGCCCCTCGAGCAACACCTGAATCTGATCCACTCACAATACCTGCCACGTGTGTACCATGACTGTCACACTGACTGGCCTGCAGTGGAACGAGGATTGAGAATGTTATTGAGCTGAAATTGCAAATACATAAGTGCTGTAGAATTGAAATGTTTCATTTGTACGTGCATGCGTTTAACCTGTCTGTGAACTCTGACTCCATCCTCTTCAGGGGCGTTATTGAAGTCTGTGATGAGTACCCGTCCTTCAACCTCTCTGTGAGAACTCTGCACACTGCCATCCATCAGATACACCTGCGTCCTCCCTCCATCATCTGCAGAGGACAGATGGTGAATTTGACATGTAATTAGAAAATGCAATTTCTGAGGGAAGAAATCTCGGTGTGGTTGCTGTTGGAAAGCTGCACTGATTGATGGATATCTGACAGCTAAACTGCACAAATGGCTAAGATGTCATTTAAATGGAAAAAAGATCATTTTTAAAGCCCCATAAGCATTTAGTTCCAGTGACAAATGTTTGGGAAGATGAGAAAGAAAGAACTGGTTCTTTGAGCCCCTGTCCACCACAGTCTAAGGGCTAGTAAATTTATACAAATTAATGTTTCTTGCATTGGCATTGAGACTTCTAGTAGATAGTTACCAAATACAAGTTCAACACCCTGGTTCAACCACAGATATTATATACTACTTCATGTGAAATACCAAGGAACAGGCCTCACCTGGCCATGAAACTGTCAGTCCATTTTCCAATTATTACTGAGCCTCTGAAAATGTATCTGTATATAAAAAATGGATTTACTTCCCTAACAGATAATG